TTGTGCAGCTTGCCGAGAGGCTGGTCAGGCAGCCAGGGCGCATCAATCATCCACGGGCCAGCGAGTTGCATCAGTCATCCACACACAAGCGGGTGCAACCCACACACACACAAGGGCACATGCACGCACAGACGCACCCAACCCCCCACCCCTCTTCCCCCCTCCAACCCACACACACGCACCAGCTTATGCAGCTTGCTGAGGGGGTGGTCAGGCAGCCAGGGCGCGTCTGTCATCCACGGGCCAGCCAGCTGCGCTGACGACCCGCCGTGGCTGCTGCTGCTGCTGCTGCTGCGCGAGTGCGAGCGCGACTGAGAGGGCCGGCGCGGGCTGAGTGCCGCGGGGGGCTGGCCGTGTGTGGGCGAGAGCACGGGCGGGTCGTTGGTGGTCATCATCTCCCCCAGCTTGCGCTGTGGGGGGGAGGGGAAGAGGGAGGGAAGGAGCGCGGGGGTAAGGAGTGGAATGAGGGCTCTGCGAGTCGCATGCATGGGTGCTTCCAGGTGAGAGCACCTGAAGGGGTCGTTGGTCGTCATCATCTCGCCCAGCTTGCGCTGTGGGGGGGGAGAAGGGAAAAGAGCGTGGACACTAGTTGGTTGGAAGGGAGGATAGATAAAGGAGAGAGTAGGTTAGGTCTGTGCAGGCTGATGCAAGGCTGCTTGCTTCTAGGTGGTAGCAGGTGGATGGGGGTCCATGGGTGGTTGGTGATCTATCTTGAGCTGTGGTGAGGGGGGGAGGGAGAAAGGATTGGGAGAAGAGACGAAAACACAGGAAGATTCTCGAAAACACTGACGAAATATGAGAGGACGAGGTGGCTGGGAAGATGATAGGAGCATAACGGACTGATAGAGCTTAGGTGATGTCGTTAGTGAGACTAGCTTAGAGTAGCGCAGCGGAAAGGATTCTGAAACATCAATCGAATGCATGAGTGTAGCGTCTCAATGGACTCTCACCTTGGCATGCTCCATTTCAATGGAGGCGGAGTCGAGCCCGTCAAGCATGGGCGAGTCCTTGCTCACCAGACTCACCTGCATGGTCACACATGAGCACACTCACATACATGCACACATAGATGTGTGCGCACGCATGCACAAACGCATGCACATCCATGCGAAGACATGCAATGGCCCATGGATAAAGTTGCAATGAAACAGTGCAGAGAGAAGCACGGTGGGGAAACTAGAGAGGAGACGAAGTTGTGGTAAGTAAAGGTTGTGGAATAGAGAGTGCAAATAGAGAGTGCGAAAGTGCAGGCGTGCAAAAGAGGGGGAGTGGCGCCCACCAGGATAGGCGTGAGCTGCCCCTCCAGGTCCAACAGACCTTTGGTGAACGCTGCTGCTGACATCTGCACACGCAGGCGAGGCAGCAGGCAAGCACGCACAAGATGCACGAACAGTTTTACTAGCTGCTTATTTGAACGGGCCCTCTGTTACTTTCGAGGCTGCCAACGCTCCCACCCCACCTGGTTGCCTCGGTCAACTGACCCCACCTGGTTGCCTCGGTCAACTGACCCCGCTATCGACGCCAAGCCCCCATCCCCGTGCACCATCTCCTGTGAACCCCAACCTGCCCGCACATCCCCACCTACCCCACAACTGAAACACTCTCACTGTTGGCGGTGTGGTGGTGCACCCTTGTACAGTCAGTCCATTCACTTGTGCTAGGGTCTCTCGAGTCACATGGTGCGTGCCCACCTCGTGCCATCCACCCACCCGCCCGCCTCCATGCCCCGCTCATCAGACAAGGTAAGTCCACTGTGTGGCCATGGCAGTGGGTTTTGAGTCGACTCAAAAGACGCTGTGAGGCTGTAGCGATGAGTGCTGGCGAGCCTGATACGTCTTGATGAGACATGTTGCTGCCGTGCAAGCCTACCTGCCCTGCACGCCCACCTGCACTGGGTGCCCACCTGCACTGAACACCTCACCTGCACTGAACACCCCACCTGCACTGGGCGCCCACCTGCACTGAGCGCCCACCTGCACTGAGCGCCCACCTGCACTGAGCGCCCACCTGCACTGAGCGCCCACCTGCACTGAGCGCCCACCTGCACTGAGCGCCCACCTGCACTGAGCGCCCACCTGCACGCGGCCCTCATCGGAGCTGTAGATCTTGAGGTCGTGGCGGTACGTGCTGTGCAGGCGCAGCAGCCCCGTTCCATTCGACCCCATTTCGTCTGCCAAGATTCACAAGGGGCGAGGAGAGAGGACGGGTGCAAGGGGAAGTGAGGGGGGAAGGGAGAGGAAAGGGCGATGTGAAAGAGGGGAGAGGGAAGAGGGGGGGGAGGGGGGGGGGGGAGGGGGGAAGGAAAGGCAGGGAGGAGGGCAAGAGGCGCATGACTTGCGGGATATGGGTGACCATTAGAAGAGCTTAGGGTGCGTGCATTCCATGTGTTGCATTCCATGTGTTGCATTCCATGTGTTGCATTCCATGTGTTGCATTCCATGTGTTGCATTCCATGTGTTGCATTCCATGTGTTGCATTCCATGTGTTGCATTCCATGTGTTGCATTCCATGTGTTGCATTCCATGTGTTGCATTCCATGTGTTGCATTCCATGTGTTGCATTCCATGTGTTGCATTCCATGTGTTGCATTCCATGTGCTGCATTCCATGTGTTGCATTCCATGTGCTGCATTCCATGTGCTGCATTCCATGTGCTGCATTCCATGTGTTGCATTCCATGTGCTGCATTCCATGTGTTGCATTCCATGTGCTGCATTCCATGTGCTGCATTCCATGTGCTGCATTCCATGTGCTGCATTCCATGTGCTGCATTCCATGTGTTGCATTCCATGTGCTGCATTCCATGTGCTGCATTCCATGTGTTGCATTCCATGTGTTGCATTCCATGTGTTGCATTCCATGTGCTGCATTCCATGTGCTGCATTCCATGTGCTGCATTCCATGTGCTGCATTCCATGTGTTGCATTCCATGTGCTGCATTCCATGTGCTGCATTCCATGTGTTGCATTCCATGTGCTGCATTCCATGTGCTGCATTCCATGTGCTGCATTCCATGTGCTGCATTCCATGTGCTGCATTCCATGTGCTGCATTCCATGTGTTGCATTCCATGTGTTGCATTCCATGTGTTGCATTCCATGTGTTGCATTCCATGTGTTGCATTCCATGTGTTGCATTCCATGTGCTGCATTCCATGTGCTGCATTCCATGTGTTGCATTCCATGTGCTGCATTCCATGTGCTGCATTCCATGTGTTGCATTCCATGTGTTGCATTCCATGTGCTGCATTCCATGTGTTGCATTCCATGTGTTGCATTCCATGTGTTGCATTCCATGTGCTGCATTCCATGTGTTGCATTCCATGTGCTGCATTCCATGTGCTGCATTCCATGTGTTGCATTCCATGTGCTGCATTCCATGTGCTGCATTCCATGTGTTGCATTCCATGTGCTGCATTCCATGTGCTGCATTCCATGTGTTGCATTCCATGTGCTGCATTCCATGTGCTGCATTCCATGTGTTGCATTCCATGTGCTGCATTCCATGTGCTGCATTCCATGTGTTGCATTCCATGTGCTGCATTCCATGTGCTGCATTCCATGTGTTGCATTCCATGTGCTGCATTCCATGTGCTGCATTCCATGTGTTGCATTCCATGTGCTGCATTCCATGTGTTGCATTCCATGTGTTGCATTCCATGTGCTGCATTCCATGTGCTGCATTCCATGTGCTGCATTCCATGTGCTGCATTCCATGTGTTGCATTCCATGTGTTGCATTCCATGTGCTGCATTCCATGTGTTGCATTCCATGTGCTGCATTCCATGTGCTGCATTCCATGTGTTGCATTCCATGTGCTGCATTCCATGTGCTGCATTCCATGTGTTGCATTCCATGTGCTGCATTCCATGTGCTGCATTCCATGTGTTGCATTCCATGTGCTGCATTCCATGTGCTGCATTCCATGTGTTGCATTCCATGTGCTGCATTCCATGTGTTGCATTCCATGTGTTGCATTCCATGTGCTGCATTCCATGTGCTGCATTCCATGTGTTGCATTCCATGTGCTGCATTCCATGTGCTGCATTCCATGTGTTGCATTCCATGTGTTGCATTCCATGTGCTGCATTCCATGTGTTGCATTCCATGTGTTGCATTCCATGTGTTGCATTCCATGTGTTGCATTCCATGTGTTGCATTCCATGTGTTGCATTCCATGTGCTGCATTCCATGTGCTGCATTCCATGTGCTGCATTCCATGTGCTGCATTCCATGTGCTGCATTCCATGTGTTGCATTCCATGTGTTGCATTCCATGTGCTGCATTCCATGTGTTGCATTCCATGTGTTGCATTCCATGTGTTGCATTCCATGTGCTGCATTCCATGTGTTGCATTCCATGTGCTGCATTCCATGTGCTGCATTCCATGTGTTGCATTCCATGTGCTGCATTCCATGTGCTGCATTCCATGTGTTGCATTCCATGTGCTGCATTCCATGTGCTGCATTCCATGTGTTGCATTCCATGTGCTGCATTCCATGTGCTGCATTCCATGTGTTGCATTCCATGTGCTGCATTCCATGTGCTGCATTCCATGTGTTGCATTCCATGTGCTGCATTCCATGTGCTGCATTCCATGTGTTGCATTCCATGTGCTGCATTCCATGTGCTGCATTCCATGTGTTGCATTCCATGTGCTGCATTCCATGTGCTGCATTCCATGTGTTGCATTCCATGTGCTGCATTCCATGTGCTGCATTCCATGTGCTGCATTCCATGTGCTGCATTCCATGTGTTGCATTCCATGTGTTGCATTCCATGTGCTGCATTCCATGTGTTGCATTCCATGTGTTGCATTCCATGTGTTGCATTCCATGTGCTGCATTCCATGTGTTGCATTCCATGTGCTGCATTCCATGTGCTGCATTCCATGTGTTGCATTCCATGTGCTGCATTCCATGTGCTGCATTCCATGTGTTGCATTCCATGTGCTGCATTCCATGTGCTGCATTCCATGTGTTGCATTCCATGTGCTGCATTCCATGTGCTGCATTCCATGTGTTGCGTTCCATGTGCTGCGTTCCATGTGCTGCGTTCCATGTGTTGCATTCCATGTGCTGCATTCCATGTGCTGCATTCCATGTGTTGCATTCCATGTGCTGCATTCCATGTGCTGCATTCCATGTGTTGCATTCCATGTGCTGCATTCCATGTGCTGCATTCCATGTGTTGCATTCCATGTGCTGCATTCCATGTGCTGCATTCCATGTGTTGCATTCCATGTGCTGCATTCCATGTGCTGCATTCCATGTGTTGCATTCCATGTGCTGCATTCCATGTGCTGCATTCCATGTGTTGCATTCCATGTGCTGCATTCCATGTGCTGCATTCCATGTGCTGCATTCCATGTGCTGCATTCCATGTGCTGCATTCCATGTGCTGCATTCCATGTGTTGCATTCCATGTGCTGCATTCCATGTGCTGCATTCCATGTGTTGCATTCCATGTGCTGCATTCCATGTGCTGCATTCCATGTGTTGCATTCCATGTGCTGCATTCCATGTGCTGCATTCCATGTGTTGCATTCCATGTGTTGCATTCCATGTGTTGCATTCCATGTGTTGCATTCCATGTGTTGCATTCCATGTGTTGCATTCCATGTGTTGCATTCCATGTGTTGCATTCCATGTGTTGCATTCCATGTGCTGCATTCCATGTGCTGCATTCCATGTGTTGCATTCCATGTGCTGCATTCCATGTGCTGCATTCCATGTGTTGCATTCCATGTGCTGCATTCCATGTGCTGCATTCCATGTGCTGCATTCCATGTGCTGCATTCCATGTGCTGCATTCCATGTGCTGCATTCCATGTGCTGCATTCCATGTGTTGCATTCCATGTGCTGTATTCCATGTGCTGCATTCCATGTGTTGCATTCCATGTGTTGCATTCCATGTGCTGCATTCCATGTGTTGCATTCCATGTGTTGCATTCCATGTGTTGCATTCCATGTGCTGCATTCCATGTGTTGCATTCCATGTGCTGCATTCCATGTGCTGCATTCCATGTGTTGCATTCCATGTGCTGCATTCCATGTGCTGCATTCCATGTGTTGCATTCCATGTGCTGCATTCCATGTGTTGCATTCCATGTGTTGCATTCCATGTGTTGCATTCCATGTGTTGCATTCCATGTGCTGCATTCCATGTGCTGCATTCCATGTGTTGCATTCCATGTGCTGCATTCCATGTGCTGCATTCCATGTGCTGCATTCCATGTGCTGCATTCCATGTGCTGCATTCCATGTGCTGCATTCCATGTGTTGCATTCCATGTGTTGCATTCCATGTGTTGCATTCCATGTGTTGCATTCCATGTGTTGCATTCCATGTGTTGCATTCCATGTGTTGCATTCCATGTGTTGCATTCCATGTGTTGCGTTCCATGTGTTGCGTTCCATGTGTTGCGTTCCATGTGTTGCGTTCCATGTGTTGCATTCCATGTGTTGCATTCCATGTGTTGCATTCCATGTGTTGCATTCCATGTGTTGCATTCCATGTGTTGCATTCCATGTGTTGCATTCCATGTGTTGCATTCCATGTGTTGCATTCCATGTGTTGCATTCCATGTGTTGCATTCCATGTGTTGCATTCCATGTGTTGCATTCCATGTGTTGCATTCCATGTGTTGCATTCCATGTGTTGCATTCCATGTGTTGCATTCCATGTGCTGCATTCCATGTGCTGCATTCCATGTGCTGCATTCCATGTGCTGCATTCCATGTGTTGCATTCCATGTGTTGCATTCCATGTGTTGCATTCCATGTGTTGCATTCCATGTGTTGCATTCCATGTGTTGCATTCCATGTGTTGCATTCCATGTGTTGCATTCCATGTGTTGCATTCCATGTGTTGCATTCCATGTGTTGCATTCCATGTGTTGCATTCCATGTGTTGCATTCCATGTGTTGCATTCCATGTGTTGCATTCCATGTGTTGCATTCCATGTGTTGCATTCCATGTGTTGCATTCCATGTGTTGCATTCCATGTGTTGCATTCCATGTGTTGCATTCCATGTGTTGCATTCCATGTGTTGCATTCCATGTGTTGCATTCCATGTGTTGCAGTCCATGTGTTGCATTCCATGTGTTGCATTCCATGTGTTGCATTCCATGTGCTGCATTCCATGTGCTGCATTCCATGTGCTGCATTCC